AGAAGACAGACTGAGAGGTTTGTCGCCTTTGACCTTACACCGCGAGGCGGCTGAAGTGAGAAGTGATAACGCCACGAGCGGATGGTCCAACAAGGGGTGGAGAAATTCGAGTGACAAAAGACGCCGAGAGGAAACTCCAAGTGACGCAAAAATATGACACGACTTCTATGCACCGAAAGAAAGAAAATTGAAATTAATGGCAAAACGTCGTTTCCATTCCCAGATCCGATTAAAAACAAGTAAACGCGAAGATGTCAATGTTTCATCACCACGCTGTACAGGCGTAAACCTAGACATAAGGTAGGTAAAGGTAAGACGACGTACCAGATGGACTCCGAATTAACGGCCTAATTGAGCAAACAACCGAATTCTTAAGTTATTCAGCTCCGGACGTGTCACTTTAAACACTTTTAAATCATAGGTAAACGGGCCTGTTCAGGAACCCCAGAGATTCTATATTTTGTGGTAAATCACACGATATCACCAATCCGGAGATAGGGGACCGGAAAACATTTTTCCACAGAATCCCACCACAGCGCTTCGCGTTTCCAAGGGTTAAAAGCAGCAGATTCCATAATCCGTGAGAGTGTAGCCACCCTCAGCCAGCCAGCACGGGGTGTGAACATCCTCACTCCGTCCTCTCAACCTCCACGTGTTACCTAGTCCCTACAGACTGCGTACCATGCATACAAAAGCAGACTAACCCCCCCCCCCTCCCCCTTACCCCCCCCCCCTTTTCCATAATCCGTGAGAGTGTAGCCACCCTCAGCCAGCCAGCACGGGGTGTGAACATCCTCACTCCGTCCTCTCAACCTCCACGTGTTACCTAGTCCCTACAGACTGCGTACCATGCATACAAAAGCAGACTAACCCCCCCCCCCTCCTCCTTACCGCCCAACTCTTTTTTAACACGGTTGACTACAGAGAGATAGGGGTAGAGTGCGATGGGACAGGGGGTGGTTTTGTGTATGTGTGCAGCGGCGGGGAGGAGATGGGGCAGAAACTAGTTGTCGACCATCACTCCCCATTCCCACCGGAACACTACACTGGGGCTACTTGAATACATTCCATTTTGGTCATATTTTTACATCGGGGCAAGTCCCTTCTCTCTGTGTGTACCACCTACCACGCCCCCACCACTGCATACATATATGTAACAAGAGAGCTGAAACTAGAAGGCCTAACATCGATCGAATCGGTGAGACCGTGAGGCGGTTTCAGACACCCAAGTGAACCCTGTCGCATGTCTCTTTTTCGGGGCGTGTAATTACGAAGTCTGATGCACTTCGACACTCAACCTCTTATCTTTCCCGCCCACCAAGTCTACCTCGTTCTTGTTACGTTACTGAAAACAAACTTCGGCCCAAGTTCTGATACTGTTTGAACGCACTCCATTTAATGGGAGAAAACTAGGTTATACAGTCCATCGGACGGAGAACTGCGAATCTAAAAACCCGAAACATTGAAATGGTGTACACAAGACGTCAAAGACGTTTCTCGTGGTAGTAAACTGAATTGTATGATATCTTGGCCGGTGTGCTTACAAAAATAAATAAAAAATATAATTGCCATGAAACTGCTGTTGTTATTACTGTAATTGTCATTATTACTATTATTACTATTATTATTTAATATGATACATTTATATATTCAGTTTCATTTGTTTGTTTGTTTTTGTATTTGTAATGCTTTACTTTTATTATTATTATATTTTATCCTGTACTGTTGTCAGTGCTTGGCTGTTATTGGCCTTATTTGGATGTTGTCAAGCACTTAAATATATGAATTGAACTGAATTACCATCGTTGTATTATCTTCCATGGAGCAGGCTCCTTCTTGGTAATAACCGAACGTCGGGACCGAGTGATAAAAACTTCTGTTACGTATTCGGGAGGAACCAGACTCAAATCTACGCCTTGGAGACCGGCTATCCTTACTAGGGGAGTCATGGTTTTCCTCAGGCTCTCCATTCAAATTTTGAAATCTTACCCTGAATTAGACCACGACCACTTCCATCCATATCCTTCCCAGCTTATTATTAGTCTGATCTACTCACACCATCATTAAACAAACCACAGACTGAAGTTACTAATTCCGCGGCTAGTCAAAGAAATTGCCGAATTTAAAAAAGAACGTTCATTACGTC